ACACAAAGGGGCGCCGGTCACCCGACCCTGCTGACCCCCGCCCCGGGGATCCCGCCTCTTAAGACCCCCAGTGTCCGCCCCGCTGGGACCCCGACCTCTCGGACCCATAGCCCCTCCCGGACCCCAGACTCTCAGACCCCCGGCCCCTGACCCCTGACTCCTGGACCCCCGAACCCCCGGAGCTGCGGACCCCAGTCCCTCGGACCCACAGCTCCTCCCAGCCTCTGATCCTTGACCCTCGGACCCCGGCATCCCACCCCGCCAGGACTCCGGAATCCCGGGTCTCGGCCGCCGCACTAGGTCACCTCCCTGTTCCCAGTGTCCCGTTACACACTCCCGGGTACACTGCCGACCTGGCTCTGAGAGAAAGGACAGGATGCCGTGTCTCCTGGGCACGGTAACGTCCTGCCGGCGAGGACTGCAGGGCCAGTCATCTCCCTGCCCCACGGGAGCCCGCCGGGCCCTTCCCTCCCGGGTCCCCCCTCCCAGCGCCGGGTGATGCTGGGCCGCTCGGGCGGGGGCGGGGGGAGCAGCGGTGGGGCCGGGGGACGGAGGTTTTCCCTGAGGAGCGGGCAGGGTGGGCGCTGCTCCACCACTGGGATTTATTCAGGCTGTTTTATTGGCGCTTGTTCTTATCACAGGCTTTGTACTGGTATTTGAGGTTTTCATCCATTTTTTTAAAATGTATAAAATTACAACGTTCAGCTTGTGGGGGGCGCCCTTCCCTCACTGGCTGGATGTCCTGGGCTCAGCCGTGCAGCTAGGGGTCTGCCTGGACTAGGCAGGTGGAGGTTGGGGGGGGCGGGTCTCCCCTGTCTAGGCAGGTGGAGGTGGGGGAGGTCTGCCAGGTGGGGTGGGGTCTGCCCGGACTACGCAGGTGGTGGTGGGGGTCTGCCCCATCTAGGCAGGTGGAGCAGGGCCTGGGACAGCCACCCACACCGTTGAACTCAGCAAACCCTGTGCTGCGCTCCCTTCTCTGAGCCAGTCTGTTTCCTCAATAATTCAAGAGGTCTGGACCCAATTCTGTTTGTCTCAAGGCACGGGTTTGTCCCCTTCATGTTTTGAAAGATATCAGAACAAGGACCCTCACGGGCACTCTAAGCAGCACTGGGGACTAGCCTGTCTCCCCACTGGGGCCCTGAACCTGGACTGGCGGGGGCAGGCTGGGTTGGGGACACCCTTGGGTGGGTGTTGGTTAGATCGCCGGTTGGAAGACGCCTGCCACGGTGTAAGCTCCTTGGCAGAGCCCAACTCTCGGTGGCCATCTTGCACATTTTGCAGTTCCCGGTCAACATCCAGCCGCGTGGGCCTCCTCCTGGGAGGGGCTGTTCCGGGGTCCGGTGGGGAGGGGCCATGCGGTCTGTCTGTCCTGTGGCAGCCTGGCTGGCTGAGGGCCCTCAGCTTCCTCCTCCCGCCCCTCCCCCAGCGCAGAGTTGCCTGTGGGAGGAGGAGCTGTAGCCGCACCTGAAGTTGGTGGCTAGAGCTTTCTCTGGCTGGGTCCCCAGCCTGGCCCCCTGCCCGCCTGCTGAGAAACGAGGGTGCCGCCCCGGGCATGCCCAGGAGGACAACTTTTAAGCTGGCGGTGTGTTGGAGAAGCCAGAACCTGGCCAGGGCCAGACCCTTTAATGCTGATCTTCTCTGAGACTGGTTGGGGCGGGGAGAAGTGGAGCCGGATGGCTTTTTTTCTGGGTACCCTGAACTGAGCAGTCACGGAGGTGAACCCCTCGCCTGCTCCTGCTTTTCTAGGCGGCTGCAAAGTCAGGTTTCTGTGGGGCCGAGAGTGGGGACCAGGCCGTCTGTGTGCGGAACCTTTCCTCTCCTCCTCAGGACCCACCGTGCTCTTCATCTTACAGATGAAGAGCAGCTTCGTCTGTATAAGACGTACAGAGGAGCCCTCAGCAGAAAGCTGGCCCCAGCAGCATGGGCACTGAGGGTGCCTGCAGCTAGTGCAGAGCCGCCCGTGGGAGTCAGTGCAGCCCCTGCACTCTTGTGTGGGGCGGCATCCCCGATCTCCGTAGAGGAGTGACCACAGCCGGCCAGAGCACAGACCTGAGCCCGTTCCCAGGGGAATCCCAGCGGGTGATCTTGGGCTCCTCGTGTGGCTTCTCCATGCATGTCTGAGGTGGGGATGGCATCATGAAGTGATATGGGATCACAGGAGTGAGCATGTGCCAAGTGTTGGCAGGGCCAGGGACATAGGGTGGGGGACAGGGACAGGGTTGGGGGACAGGGCAGGGGCTAGAGCTGGGGGCTGGGGCAGTGCTGGGGGACAGGAACAGGGCTGGGGCAGGGAGAGGACAGACTGGAGCAGGGCCAGGGACAGAGCCAGGGGCTGGGGCAGTGCCCGCCCTCGTAGCTGCCGTGTGTGCTCACCGTCATTGCCCTCATTGTTCTGGATTTCAGCCTGGCCACGTGTGCGGTCTGGGAGTTGCGTTCCCTATGCTCTAGAACTTGGGCATTGTTGAGGCTGGCCATGTGGGTCCTACTGGACCTCATCGTGGGGGGCCTCTGTCTGTCACCGGGTTTGGTCTGTCCCTGCTCATTCCATCTCCTGTGGCGCCTACAGCGTGTTCCTCTGGCCCGTGGTGCCTTGCTCTGGGGCCGCACTTCCTGCAGGGAGAGTCCGTTCTGCCCCATCAGCTCTCCCAGCTCCTTCTTAGTCGGGCTTCATCGCCATCCTTGAGTGCATGCTTTGGTTGGGGCATCTCTGCGAGGTTTTGTGAGGGACATGCACTTGGGGCTGCGTAGGTCCCTGCTGTGTGCACACATGGCCCCCTGTTCTGCCCACCCCTCCCGGTCCTCCCTGGGGGTGTTTGTGCAATTTCAGCCTGTTCAGCCGTATGGGGTGGCTCTCCCCCTCTCTCTAATTCTGAGAAACAGGCTCGGGGCTGGGATGCTGGATCCCAGCTGCTTGACTTTCCTCGCTCCTGGCTGTGTTGAAGTTTCCCTTCTGGCCTCTTCTCTTCAGCCTCAGGACACACGGGGAGGGAGGGCTGGGGGCGCAGGGCTCGAGGCTGGGGCTGGTCTTGCCTATCCCACTGAGGTCCTGGTACGGGTCCCGTGGCAGGGCCAGTTCTGGGAGGTGGAACACCCCTTGTGCACGTTTGTATGGGAGGTTTGATTGGTGAGCTGTCACATAGTAGGAGGTTTGTAAATGTTTGCCGGACGAACCCAGGGCAGAGAGGAGAAGGGCTCTCAGGGTTGAGAGGTGGCTCTGGTCTGGCCTCCCCACCAGCCTGGTGGCGGGCAACGCTTGGTGGGGGCTTCCTTTGGGCCACAGGGTGCTGGGCCTGTCATGGGGCTTTCCTCTGCCCTTGGAGCTTCCTGCGTCAGCGCCCTTGGGGTGTTGCCCACTCAGAGTAGCCTGGAGCAGGCTTGTTGGTGCTGCGAAGCCTTCTGCTGGCAGCACGTGCTGTTGCCGGGAACCCCTTCCCTGCAGATCCCATGCCCGCCCATGGCTCCTGGGTGTGGAAGGCCAAGTGGAAGGCCAAGCCAAAGACGTTTGTTTGCTTCGTGAAGCTTTTCATCCTATGGCAACTCTCCCAGAAGGCTCACACTTTTTCTGTGCTGGTGGCACGAAGCAGGACTCCATCCAGGCTGTGTCCTGGCCCTCACTTGTGGGGAGGCCTGGCTCAAAGCCCCGCGTGCCCGCGTCCAGCCCCGGCACCGCCATCCGCACAGGTTGGGGGCGACCCACGCCGCACTTCACTCTGCTCCCCCACGGGACTTCACAGTCCACATCGCGGACCGCCTCCTCCAGAAGCTCAGCTGCAGACCCGCCCACAGGCTGCGCACTGTGGGGCCCTCACATGTCTGTCCAGACGAGTCCCGGGGTCTCCTGCGAGGAAACGCCCTTTTCCTCCAGAGCCAGAGGTCTCACGGGCCTGGCGTCCCACCAGGCGTCACGTGGAGGCTCTTAGTGTGTTTGAGTTGTTAACACAGCGTCACCGTCAGGGAGGTGGTCCCTTGTGTCCCCCGTCAGCCCTGGAGCCTGGCTGCAGCCCAGGGCCAGGATGGCTACGTCGGTGCCAGGGTGGGAGCTCTGCGCTCAGCTGTGGAGGAGGGTGACAGCCCGGTGGGCCTAGAACCTGGGATGGTTCAGAAGAAATCCCAGCCGGTCCAGCTAGGGGGTGGGGCAGGGGTCAGGCCGCAGCCTGAAGGGAGCCCTTTCTGGAACTTCTCTAGCTGTGAACGGAGGTCTGTCGGGAGGCGGGCTTGGTGCCCACGGTGCTCTCGTTGGCCACCTCATCCAGTGGGCTCGCTGTGAACTCCGAGGTCTTGGTGAGTCCTGGTTTCCGTGTCCTGCAGCAGCTGTGAAGCGTCTCACCTGGAAGGGCGGGGAGGTGACACTCCGGAAACCACCCGTCGCATTCGGTGAACCAGCGTTCTTTCGATGAAGATAAAGTTCTCGTTTCTAGGGTTCTGGAGTATCACAGAGTTGTCAGGATACGTGCACCCGCACACATGTGCACACGTGAAGACACGTGGACTAGGTGAACACGCGTGGGGAAAATCTTGGTGACGAGTCTGTCCTTCACGATGGTCTTTACTAAGCATGTGCCGTGGGTAAGGCCTTCCTGGTTTACCGTGAGTTGAGAGGACAGCGCAGCGCATGTGAGGCTGACCCTGGCTGGCCAGTCCTGCAGGAGGTTTTACGTGGCCCTGTGCCCCTGCCCCATGTTGCCTGAGGGCGTGCCCTGGCCTCTGCTCGGCTCAGTTCCTGCCTGCAGTAGGCAGCTGTGCTCTCAAGGCGTGCTTGGCACTTTGCCCAGCCAGACCCTGCCCCAGGCAGCGTGGCCATGCCCCGGTCCTCAGGGCCTCCAGACAGGGTCAGCCAGAGCCATGCCTCACTGCTGCCCGGAGAAGGCTGCTTGGTTACTGCTGGCTTTTTGACCAGAATGATGCGCCAGGAGGGAGCTGGGGTAAGGGTCAGCCAGGGGAGGTGGCTTTCAGGAGGGAGCCCGGGGTGAGGGCCAGCCAGTGACAGGCAGGGAGGTGGCTTTCAGGAGGGAGCCCGGGGTGAGGGCCAGCCAGTGACAGGCAGGGAGGTGGCTTTCAGGAGGGAGCCCGGGGTGAGGGCCAGCCAGTGACAGGCAGGGAGGTGGCTTTCAGGAGGGAGCCCGGGGTGAGGGCCAGCCAGTGACAGGCAGGGAGGTGGCTTTCAGGAGGGCGTGACTGATGGCGTTAAGCCGAAGATCGAAGAGCGAGAAGCCGCTAGCAGCGTGCAGCCTGTTCTGGCTGAGGGTCTAGCTTGACGGAGGGAAAAGGACAGGCGGGCAGCGGCTGGGGTTGCCAGCTGCACTAAGGAGTTGGCATTTCACTCTGAGGGCGGGGCAGGCACGGAGGGTCTCAGGAGTGGGGGTCTCTGGGCTTTGCTTCTAAAGCTTCTGGCTGCGGTGGGAGGGGCCGGGGGATGAGGCGGCTGCAGTGTCCTGGTGGAGGCTGTGGTGGAGTGAGGGGAGCACTTAGGACCAGGGAGACTGGCTGGTGGACTGGCTGTCGGGGTGCGAGTTTGGGCCGGAGCAGGGGGGGCCAGGCCGGTCACTGCAGCTAGAGAGGAAGCAGGGCTGCTGTGGGGGTGTGTTCGGGGTGTACTGAGCTTGAGATGCTCTTCAGAGCTGCAGGAGGAGGCGTGGGCTGTCTGGGGAACGCTGATCCTGTGTCCCAGGCGTGGTGTCGCCCGGGCAGGGTTCTTGGGACCCCTGGGGCTTCCTGCACACACTGGTGCCGGGGAGCTGGTGTGATTGGTTTGAGGGGGCTCAGCGCCTCAGGTGACCCCAGAGTGTGCCAGCTGCAAACCCTGGTCCCTCCCAAGAGTCACACAGTGGGATCGGTGGCGAGGAGTGGGCAGGGCAGGACGACGAGCACTCAGCGGCATGGAGCTCTCCAGACACCAGCGCGAGGCCGCCCCCCATCGTCCGTGGTCCCCTTCCCCGCCCCATTTTCTTTAAACTGTTTTGGGGCAGTTTTAGACTCACAGGAAGATTACGAAGGTGGTACAGAGAGCGTCCGGTCCCCCGCACGCAGCTCCCCTGTTGCTGGCGTTGCCACTGAATCCCGACCGTCCCTTCCTGTCCTGCACCCCTGCCCACTCAAGTGGTGCTGCGCCATGAGCACATAGCACCACAGCACGCCTCACCGTCCCTCCGTCCTGGAGTTCTGTATGGACGGTCGTGGCGGCTGTCTGCGTGGGCTCCTCACATGCCCTTCTGCTGGGCCGAGCTGGGGCAGCGGCTGGCAGTGGCGTCTGCTTCGGCTCAGAGTCTTCCGCCGCCACCCCCCTCCCAGCATCTGCCCGCCCTGCTGGCCACTGCGTTTCCCACCACCTTACCGAGTTGCTAGGACGCGGTGTGCACACCTGGTTGTGAGGCTCCGTGTGGTCGTGAGGCTCAGTGTCGCCGCCGTCCTGTCCCCCGAGGTGGGCACCCGGCCTCCCACAGCCACCGCCTCCAATAGCACGTCTAGTCATGGGTGAGATGGGAATAAAGCAGGCGTGTGTGTCAGAGTTCACTCGCTCCCCGTGTGCCGGCTGAGCACCATGGCCGCTGTGTGCCGGGCATCCGCTAGGTGCTAAGCTGGGCACCCGCCGAAGCCCCAGTCCTGGCAGAGCTGACGTTCTAACCAGGGTCTCCAACTAAACCAGGTCAAACGTCGGTCCCCGAGTGGAACACCAGAGTAGGGCAGGAGGTGACCAGGGAGGCCCAGGGGGTGGGGGCAAGGCTGGGAGGAGGCGAGGCCTCTTCGCTAGAGGAGAAGAGAAGGGAGCCTGGGAGTGTCAAGTGTGGGAAAGTGCTGGGATAGAATACCATGGCAGGTGCAGCCTGGAGCAGGCAGCCGACTGCCCTGCCCGCTTGGTGACCAGGTGTGGGGGAAGTGGGATGGGCGAGGGAGGAGCTCGGGATTGTCGTGAACTGGTGGGAGGGCTATGGGGCAGGCCAAGGGGCCCCATCAGGACTGCAGTGGCCCGTCCTGCATGCTCAGAGCCCCGGGTCTGGGCTGACCAGGGGCGGGCCTCTAGATACCTGAAAACCTTGGGCCAGCCTACTGCGAATGTGAGACGACCTGTTTGAGCTCCCCTGCTCGCTCTTGCTGCTGAGGGGACCGAGTCACTGCCCTGCCAGGTGTCCCCGGGTGCTGGCCACCACTTGCCAGGATGGACCCCTCACCAGGGTCACCAAGGGTGCTGGGGCCGTCCCTGTAGTGTCTTGTTCCTAGAATTTGTTTGCAAGGCAATAGCCCTGCGTCCAGCCTGCCACCCTCACAGACCTGGGAAGGGGGCAGGGTGGGCACGTCTGGAATCCTGGGGGGACTCTGGCCAAGACCCCATCCCAGCCATGACCCCAACGCTGAGCCCTTGCCTCTGATGCTCGCCCCCCCACCCCCAGCCCAGCCCCAGGCCCTGCCCCCAGCCAGCTGCGCTCTGGGGATTGGGTGGCGGGTGCCGAGGCTCCAAGTGGGCGCAGACCTTGCTCCCACAAGACAAACCCTGGGCGGGTACAAGAGCTACTGCTGGTCACGGGCCAGCGACTCTCGGGAGACTTGTGTCGGCCACTGCCAGTTGGAGGGGGTGGGCGGTGCAGGCACCAGGAGGACATGGAGTGAGTGGACCTGAATGGACGCAGGCAGGGCAGAGGGGCACAGGGTGGAGAGGGAGGACCCAGGCCTCGGTGCTCACAGGCAGCAGTGCACCCACAGGAGGTGGGTAGGAGATGACCCTGCCCGCGGTCCCCGGGGTCTACACCCACTGGTCACAGGCCTTGCTCCCTTCAACCATCCTTTTGTTCTCTTGTTAAATGTGGGGCTGTCCCCCGGAGGGCGGAAAGCCAGCAGAGGCCCTGGCCCGGGGCTGCCTTCTGTAGGAGGTGCCGCAGGTGCAGGTGGCCTGGTGGCTGTGAGGTCCCGCAGGTACTGCTGGCCCTGCTCTCGTGGCTTGTCTGTCCCTCGGGAGCTGCCCATCTGTGGCCCGGCCGCCCACCTAGTGTGTTCTTGTCCCCCTTTTGCCTCGTCCCCTCTGCCCCCTTCTGTGTCCAGGAGGCTCTTGGGTTATTTGCAGTGATGAAATCACTTACAGGGGCTTCTGCTGGGTTTGTCTCCAGAAACAGGGTGGAGTTAGTGTTTTCACCCAAGAGCCCCCAGCACTAATCCAGAAGCTTCCTGTGACTGCGTGGTCTCACTGGTATTTCAAACAACTGGATGGTCAAATTCCCGCATCACGCTGCTGGGCTTGGCTCGCCTCCCCTGGCCCAGCAGACGTCATCCTGTCCTCAGGGCACCAAGGCCTGTGGGGCGTTGGGGCCGGGGAGGGTGAGAGCCAGACTCGCCCCGTCCATCTGCAGCACTGGCCTGGAGCCGCCTCTGGTCTGCATGTTAGGCCCTGAGACCTGCCCAGACCCCCGAGGCCCGCAGCTGGATGCAGGCTGGCCTTTGAGCCCCATGTCTGCAGGCCACTCCCCTGGTGGGCACCCACCACCCACAGTAAGGTAGCGTGGGAACACATTCCGGCCCCTTTTAGGCCCCTCTTGGGCCTATAAACCTAGGCCAGGCATTGGCAAAGCATAGCTTCCTGTTGAAATCCTCACCTTAGAGACTTGTGGCCATGCGGCGCTACCTTCCTGCACCCCTGCCACCACGTGTCCTGGAGTGGCCTTGGGCTGCACTTGGCTGGCCTGGCTGTAGCTTCTCCAGAGGGGCTGGCTCGGTCACGGCGTAGTTGAGCCGAATCAGCAAAGGACTTGGCCTGCCCGCGGCTTGGGTACAAAGCAGGCTGCTCTTGGGGTTGGAACAGAGGAGGCCGTCAGGCGTCACACCTGCAGACACGGGTGAGCGGGCTCCAGCACTGCCCCTGGTGAGCGTGGCTGGGTGGTCTCGAGCCAGCACGGCTGTCTGACCCCAGCCCAGACACACAGGTCAGGACAGCGGGGTTCCCGCTGGTGCACCTGCGGCATGTGAAGCAGCCGGTTCTCTGAGCATGGGTTCCATCCACTGGGTCCTGGGAAAGCCGCAGGGCCAGGTCTCACGTGGCCCCAGACCCGGTTGTTGCACCCGGGATTCAGGCAAGGGTGAGGGCTGTGCGTGTTCTGTAGGCCGCAGGCCCGTCCCTGGCTGTGAGGGGTCAGGCCGCCCAGTGTCCCTGCGGCCAGCAGTGGGCGGGGGATGGGTGCGTCTGGTCTCCACGTCTGTGAAGCTTCCTTTCTCCGTGGAGCCCCTGCTTTGGCTGGGCCGCCCGAGGCGCTGCCTGATCTCAAGGTGCACGTCTGTGGCATTGCGGGTCCTGGTCAGTGTGACATCCAGCTGCATGTTGGGGTCAGCCCCTGTGCCGTATCCTCGCATCGAGAGCAGGGACCGGGCTCTCAGGGTGGGTCAGGATGTGCTCCCTGGGGGCTGGGCAGTTCGTGCTCACTACTAGACCCCCGAACCCTCATCCCGAGTCCCTGACCAGTGTGTGACCCATGTGCGTGCCCTCAGGGCTCTGTCAGGCGCTGGCCGCTGTCCCTGGTTGTCCTGCCTCTCAGGAAGAGCTGCGCAGCATTTTTGGGAGAACCACGTGGGGAGAATTTGGGAGAATTGCATGCCAGTTCCTGGGACGCTGCCTGCAGGGGCGGGCAGGGACTGGTGGGGTGGACGGCAGGTGCATGCGCAGACCTGGGGTAGCCCCCACCTTGGGGCATCATCCGTGCAGGGTCTGCGTCCCAGGGCCCCTCCCCCTGGCGGCCTCGTCAGAAGTCCACTCTCCCTGCCCAATCATGGAGGCCCAGGAAGCTGTTGGCAACATAAGATAGGACTGGCCGCAGACCCGCTCCCAGGGCCCTCCTCTCCCCATGCACAGTGCCCCCAGCCTCCTGGTTTGTGGACACTGGTGTCGTCTGGGTGGGGCCAGCGCTCTTTGGGGGCTCCTGAGTATGTGGAGGTGACGCTGGGGCTGGACCTGGAGGGTAACCCTCTCGCTGCGTCTGTGTCCCGGCTCCGTCCCCGCTGGTCACTACCATGCTGTGGCAGGGCCCTGGTTCCAGGTAGGTCCCAGCCTGGCAACCACGGGCACGGGTCAAGGATGCGGTGAGAAGCTTCGCCTTCGTGGGACTTATGGAGTCTTGAGTTCCAGTCGACCCTCAGTGGTATTTTAACGTGTCTCTTGTGTTTAATTTTTAGTCAGACTTTGATCCCAGCGCAGGCTTCGGCGGTCGCCGTGGATCAGGAGCCTAAAAGCTTTGGTTCGAGACAATAAGAGACGTGGGATGAGGATCCAGTGACAGGACGCAGTTCTGCCCGGGGATTCTGAAGATAAAACGCTGTGAAAGTGGAATTCATGGTCGTGCAAGCCGAGCCCCTGTTCAGAGATGTCAGGTCGGTGGGGCTCCTGGAGCGTGAGGCTGACGCCGCTGCGCAGAGGAGCTGCCGCGGGCGGTGTGCGGTCGCACTGTCTGTGCCGTCCAGGATGGCCACGCACCTTAGGAGGGCGTGTGCGGTGGGCTAAGACGGCGACGCGCCCTGCGGAAGCGTTTCCCTGCATTCCTGGGATGGTGGCCTGGGGCCCAGTGGTCAGTGGCGGAGTGGGGTGCAGGCCTCAGTCAGGCCTCACCTTTGCTGCTGTGGTTTGTTTGTTGAGAGGTGTCCTGAGGGAGGTGGGTGCTCGGCCAGGCCCCGCGTGCAGCAGAGCGAGGGTGGGTCCTCAGGGGTCCCAGATGGAGATCTGAAGTCCCAGCCACCCACCCAGCCAGAGAGCGGGCGGGCCGGGCCACAGGCGGGCGTTGGTGTGTTCTGGTCGCTCCGCCTGTGAACGCAGTGCTGGGTTAGGACGTTGCTGCCGAGATGGAGGCCTGTTTTGGCATTGGCCGCGTGGGTGGAGGCCCAGCGCGCTCTGGGCAAGGGTGGGTCATCGGTCAGTCGGGAGGGCCCTGGGCCTGCGTCGCGGCAGGCCTGCGGGTGGCGTTTTCTCATCTGCTCCTCGCCAAGTCTCAGTGTTCTCTCCGTCGAGAGATCCCCAGCCGCGGTGCCCGGCCTAGCGGGCGTCAGGTCCTGCCTGGGGTGGTGGTTTCAGCCTGTGCTCTGCAGCCTGCTGTACAGCCCGAGCAATCACCGAGGACCCCGAGAGCTTGGTTCACGTGGGGTGTTACGACGGACGTGTGTGTTAGAAGTTAAAGCTGAGGAATGCTGAAAGTGGACATTGATAACTTCACTTAAAAAGAGCAACGGTAAACTCCTCCACGCTGAAGTCAGTGACCTTCCCAAGTGAAAGTCACTCTTCTCCGAGTGAAGCTGGAGAGACGAGGGGCACTGTCTGCACGGCTCTTTGCGGTCTGGTGTGACAGCACATCTCTGCCGGGCACCCGGGGCCTGTGTGTTGCACTGTGGGTGGGACGGCCGGCCTGGAAACACACTGCCTGTTCGCTGGCTCTGGCCTTGTGGAGCCGTCGCCAAGAGCCACGGGCCTGGGGTGGGTCCTTGCTGTTCACGAAGGTGGCGGGTGAGCGGCACGCCCGCGGGAGCGGTGGCCGCTGACGGGCACCTTCCAGGTCCTCGTCCTGTGCCTTGTGCTGCCCCCGTGCTGGCCGGGACTATCCTAGGGGCTGCATGGTCGCTCCCCTGGCAGGTCTTTGTGAGGCTGTGGGCTGGACAGGCTGACGACGTCTAGCACGGCCCCGGGCGGCCCCTGGCAGCTGCCGTTCTGTGTGTCGCCTGTGAAGCCCTCACTCTCCTCGGCCCAGAGTGAGGAGCGGCTGTCTCGCTGTGGAAGGAGTCGGTTCTCGTGGTTGTGCATCATTTCGTTCGGGGAAGGGTAGGGTCGGCCATGTCCCACGCTGTGACTCCTCCGCCTCCACATGGCTTCTCGCCCTTCAGTCTACAAATGGGAACGATGCCGGGCACCGGCACATGGTCGTGTTGGGTTTCTGGGCAGCCACGGGCAGAAAAGACACACCGGGGAGCGTTCCCGGGGCCCGTTACCTTAGGATCTGTGTGTCCAGTGTCACATGGTGAAGACCCTGCTGCTGGGACACAGCACAGGGGCCCCCGTCCTCCCCTCCTCACAGGGCTGCCCGGGGTCTCCGCGCGTCTGCGGCCCTGCACCCTGTGGGGGATGGTGACGGTCACCACCAGTCAGTGTCCACTCAGGTGCCAGTGAGCTGAGCGAACACCGGTTTGTTTTTCCCACTGATGTTTAACTTACTCTTAACAAAGATCCTGGCGACTGGACACTCAGAGTAGAAGGTTCTCGGGTGGCTGTGTGGCCCTGGGTGGCAGGCGACAGGTGTGGCGAGGTCTGAGCTGGGGCCCAAGCGTCCTCAGGGTGCTGAGCGTCCGCTCCTGTTGTTGCAGGCGTCCGACCCCCGATCATGAACGGGCCCATGCACCCCCGGCCCCTGGTGGCGCTGCTCGACGGCCGGGACTGCACGGTGGAGATGCCCATCCTGAAGGACGTGGCCACCGTGGCCTTCTGTGATGCGCAGTCCACACAGGAGATCCACGAGAAGGTAACACCGTGCAGGGGCGCCTGTGGGGGTGGGGAGGGTGGGTGGATCCTTCAAGCCGCCCAAGTGGGCGACAGCACTGAGGCACACTCCTCAGCGGCTCCCGCCCCCCCCAAGACAAGAGCGGCTGCTGTCATTGTTACCTGGCCCTGTCAGAAGGCAGACAGGATTTACTCTGGCTTCTCGCATCGTCTCCATTGTAACCAGTTTTCTTCCAGAAAGTGGATCCTGCGGGCGTGGATACAGTGGACGGCATTAGAGGCCAGCAGGCCATGTCCTCCTGGTCCCCAGTCAGCAGGGGCAGCCTCAGCACTCCCCCGTGGTGCCCAGAGCTGGCGTGCCAGCGGTTTGCTGGTAACTAGCTTTGGGGCAACTTGCACGATTCGTGTCCTCAGGTGCCCAGATCCCCGCAATGTGAAATACATTAATCTCGTTTCTGTTTGTAGTCACGGCCAAGTAAGTACTCCCACTGAGACAGCTGGAGGAGCTGGATGGAGGTTTAAAAAACTTAAAAGCACCCAAGAGCTAACATGATCCAGAGAGGCCCAGAGTCTGCAGGGAGGGACAGGCCTTGCCAGTGTGGATCCAGGGTGTCTGCTGAGGTGCTGAGGCGGCTTTTGGCAGCCTGTGGGCCTGCCCTGCTCTGGGTTGAGACCCTGGAGAAAGGATGAAAGAAGAAAGGAACCAAACGCGCCCTCACACAGGCCGCCATCCAGCCCGATGGCATCTGCATCGAGGCTTGAACTTGTGGTATAGGCGTCCGCACTGCCGTGCCCCAGCACCTCACATAAACAGTGGGACGGTCCTGCTGGGAGGCAGGTACCACCAGCCTGGGTCTCCAGTTATCGCTCTGAATCATTTCCTAGTACAGCGTCCATCACACAATCAGGATAACCAGGCGGGAGCAGAGATGAGAACTGTGAGCAAAAGCCAGCAGAAGCGGACGATGGAGGCCGAGCCCCAGAGCTGGGTAGACGGCTCTGCCACGCCAGAGAGAAAACCGTGCTTGGAAATTGGAGGGGGAGCTGATAACTATAGAAAGAGGCAGAGCAGATTTGGGGGAAGAGTTGAGAAGATCTAGAGCTGAAAAATAGCCAAGCTGAGGGTAAGACCTCACTGGGCAGACGTAGCACCGGTCAGGGTCAGGGCGGGAAGGGGGCCGGACGCAGCGAGGCAGGAGGGCACGGGCGCAGGGTGAGGAGCCACGGTGGACGTTCACATCTTCTCACTGCACCCTGGGCCAGGGAGGGGATGGGCCAGAGGCACCGATGAGCTCACGGCTGACGGTTTCCCAAACTGTCAAAAGATGGCCGCCGACGTGAGAAAGCAAGCCAGTCGCGGAGCGCACGCGGGACGGCCCCTCTGGAGAACACCCGTGTTTTCTCAAAGCTGAGCACACGCTTGTAATACCCCTGCGGTCACACTCCTGGTGTTTATTCCAGAGAAACGAAATGTACATCCACACAAACACCTGTGTGTGAGTGTGCCCAGCAGCTGTAATCCTGATAGCTGGAACCTGAAACTCCAGGGGGCCTTCTCCCCGGCACGTGTCTGCCGTGGTGTCCTCCTCAGCTGTAACGGGGAGCAAAGGAGCTGTTACATGCGACACGCTGGATGGAGCTCTGGGACGAGAAAAGCGAATTTCTCAGGGGTGCACGCTGTGTGATTCTGTTCATTCTTCAGTGACGGAGACAGGCTTGACCAGGGCTCTGGTGCGGAGGCACGTGAGTGAAGAGCCAACACGAAGGTGTTTCTGTGGAGCTGGGCACTCTGTGTCCTGTGTCCTGTTGTGGTGGTCGCCACTTGAGTCGACATGTGATGAGATTACAGAGAGCTGCACAAACGTGCACACCATTAGTGTGCAGGGAAAAGACGGAGAAGTGACTGAGGTGGACAGACTCCTGGTCACGCACGGGATCGCCACTGCGGGAGCCAGGCTAGGGTCACGGAGCGCTCTACTATTCCGGCAACTTCTTGTGAATCTGAAGCTATTTCAAACTCAAAAGATATTTTTTAAAAAAACCCATACGTGAAATGAAACAGAGACATACAGATAGAAATTTTTAAAAGCCAAAAACAATATTAAAACAAGTTTTCCCAGTAAATTTGAAAACTAAGGCAAAACAGATGTTTTCTTCTAAAACTGTAATTTATCAAAACTACCTCAACAAGTTAATATAAGACCCAAATTAGCAAGTTAATAGACACCCTGGGGAGAGGCAGGGATAGGGCCCTCAGTGAGATGGCAGACTCTGCCGCCACCGCAGACAGACAGACTCCAACCTCACAGGAAGCCACAGCCAAGGCCTGATGCACAGCCACGTCGTCAGAGAAGAACAGGTAAGTGCACAGCACCGCCCGAGGGACGGCCTGGTGCTCTGGCTGGAAGAGAGCACTGGGGCCTGCATCGTAGCGTCCTCCACCTCCGATGGAGCGTCGAGCAGCAGCGAGAAAGGGGTCGTCAGAGAACCAGGACCTTGGAAATTAAACACGAGTGAAAAGTGCACATTTTAATAGGACGCATGGAAGACACAGTCAAGGGAAGCCCAGAAGAAAGACGAAAGCAACGAGCAAGAGGGAGAGAGGCACAGACCCCCAGGAGCTCTGTGCCTGGCCTGCTGCAGCCCTCTGGAATTTCCTGTTTCCCAGTGGACACAAGTCCTGAACAAGCACTTCCTTTCCCAAGCTTTGCTCCCAGGTGTGGTCAAGCGACTGAGTCCACCCAGGGAGAGGTAAGTGGGCTTCGTGTGCAGGGTTGCCCTCCCTCTTTCTGCTGGCTGGAAACCAGATGTGACGGCTGGAGCCTGGGCAGCCCCGTGGACCGTGAGGAGAGGCTGTGTGCTGGGAAGGGTGGAGCAGCAAGTCAGGAGCCTGGGGCCGTGGTGGCCGTGGCCCTGACACAGGCCCCTGGACCCCTGCAGGCCTGGGGGGAGGGATAACAGCCTGTCCCAGAGGGCGCTGAGGATCAGGGCTTCCTGCCTCCTCACAGCTAGTGGGTGCCGGCTGTCCGTGCTTTGTGGGAGGAGAGACAGGGTGTGATCGCCATGCAGTGGAGGGAGCGTCCAGAGCCGCAGGGAGGCTCCAGCTCTCCTGCACACACCCAGGATGAGCGTCACTGCCGTTCACTTCGGATCTCACCAAGGCTGGGGAGGGGGAGCTACCTGCAAGGAGACGGGAACCTGACCCGCCCCACGCTGGGCACGTTAAAGCGTCCACCGAGAACGGTTTTCAGCCAGAGCCGCCCCTCGGAGCGAGCTGCTGGTCCAGTGTCAGAGGCCGTTCTTCTCAGCCATGGTCTCCGCGAGCCCCCTAAGGACGGACATGTGTGAAACGGGCAGCCGTGGAAAAGGAAGACCTGGGAACCTCAAAACGGTGCTTCCATTGAGGGGGCCGGGGTGCAGCAGGTGCCGGGAGTCCCCGAGGGGCATTTTTGGGAAAAGGGGGATCCCGTCATGGTGTGAGGATGAGGGAGTAATTTGGGGATGTGCTTGAGGAAGGGTTGCAAGCGTACAAGGAGAGCATCTCCAGGCCCTGGCGGGGGCCTGGCAGGAGTGAAGCTCCCCGTCCCAGGAGGGAGGTGCTGGGGCCGAGTGAGAAGTGAAATATAAATCCCGGAAAAATACAGAAACAGGCTTTGCAGTGAGTGGCGGGGTGGCGGAGCGACCCTGAAACAGCCCCTGCCCGGGGGCTCGAGGACACGGGAAGTGGCTGTCAATCTGTGCGCCCCTGGGGACACTGGGCGGCCCATGGTACCCACACACGTGGTCATCAAAATGTAGGTGGTGTGTCTGGAGGGGGTGCGTCCACTGTGCTGAGGTGAGGACAGAACAGAAGCAGTCAGTTCTGCAGAACGCGGGGCTGTGTGAAGGGGACGTCATTGGGAAGAGGCCGTCAAACAGCCACAACAGAGCAAAGCGTGGAGACCCTCGAGGGTGGCTGGGTGTCCAGCGGGATGCGGGCGGGGCATAGGTGTTTGGGCAAAAACCGAGTGCCTGCCAGCAAGCAGGTGCCACGGCCCCCCCTCTGGCGCTCAGGGCATCATGGTACAGCCATGCTGCAGTGGCTGCACTGCCAGAACACTGAGGGAGGCCTGGGTGTGAGGCGGCACCCGCGCATGCTCGTGGGGTCGACATGCCACTGCCGATTTTGATGGCACTTTGGCACTTCTGTGACCCGCAGCATGCGGTCTTCAGCCCGGTGTCCCACTCGGGCTGCATGCGGCTGTTTGTCGTAGAGAAATACCCGGAACAATATAGAAGTGTGTTGGTGGCACTCTGTCACCGCTGTGCCTCTCTGAGCAGCAGTTCTACAGAATAGGCCATGCCTGTGCGTGGGGACCTGAAGAGATGAGTAGAATGTAGAGAAGACGCTGAAAGCTCATGGGCCGGCACAGCGTGTGTGATTGCGCGGAGGAGGCACAGCAGCCCCGTCAGGGATGGAGAGCGTGGGAGGCCCGGGCCGGTGCCCACCAGCATGCACCTTCCTGCCCAGACAAACCGTGGCCTTACTTTGGGGTGGTGCCCGGTGAATACCCCTCAGGCCCTGCTGCCACCAAGAGCGCCCAGGGACCTGTGCTCCCCCAGTCTGGAGTCAAGGACACCGAGTTCGGTCACTAGCCCTGCCACACAGCTGGTGGAAGGTGATGGGAGTGGACGTCTGCTAGGGTGGCTTCTGGGAGGCTGCTGGTTCCCAACCTAAGGGGACAGACTTGGCCTGGGGCTTCCTGCAGAGTTCCTCCCTGGGAGGTTGTTGTGATAGCCGGGAGTGTCACAGCCACTTGGCCACCATAAAAGGGAACATGAGGAACCTGCAAGGGGAGTGGACCTGGAGGCTGGATGCAGCAGCTGCGGTGGCCCTGGCCTGCGGACTTGGGACAGAGCTGCTGCTGCAGTGGGCTTTCATCCCGCAGCTGAGCACAGGCCTCCCTGGTGTAGGTTGGGGGGTGGTCTCTGAGTAGTGTTCAAATTCCTGTTTTGAGAACACTTCAGCTAGTACTGTGTGACTAAAAATATGCTCGGTAGAAAAAGAAGTAGGACATGAAAAAAATAATGTACCAAGGAACACATGTGGGCAAGTCACACTCAGAAATGCAAATTAAAGCTAAAATAGTGGATTCCACTTTGCATCCATCACATGTAGCATTTTAAACTCCTGAGTGCCGAGTGTTGCTCGGTCGGTGATGGTGGGTGAACCACACCTCTGGGTGCAGCTGGCAGCAGTACCCAGAGCCTTAAAGCAAGTTCTCCAGGTGACCCACTGGTTTCTCCTTCTAAGAACTCATCTCAAGGAGATAGACAAGTACATGGGTTTTATTGCAGCACAGCCAGTATTAGCAGCAACCCAAACGCCCCCACAGTAGGGAAGTTCAGACAAATTGTGGACCATCCATCTTGGCGCGTAGCATGAGACAACTGAAAATCGAGACTGAAGACCGTTCACTGCCCTGGTTAAATGCTCAGAATAGAAAGCCTGCTGTCACATGCCCACACGAGCCTGTGCTGTGAGGGTCTGTCCAGGACCCAGACTCACCCTGCATGCCTCTCCCTCCACGATGTATCTGTCCCAAGTCCGGGGTTGCTGCTCCTAACACTTGCTCAGGGACGTCTGTCTTTCCATTTCTAGTGCACGGCCGTGCCTGCCCCCAGCGGGCACCAACCAATCTGTCTAGACACAACTAGCTCCCATAGCACCCTGCCTCAGCTGCCGCAGGGGGTCCCTCCTTGCTGGCTCTTGTGGCCACCCCATCTGCAGTCCACACAGCACAGGGCCGCCAGAGGGGTCTTCCTGGTGTCCCACCAGCTGACCCCACCCCCCACCCCCCGTGGCTCTTGCGGCCTCCACCGCCTGTGCATCTCCACTTCCTGTCCACTCTCCCCGTGTGCTCCTGGTTAAAGCCTCCCTCTCAGGGGTCTGGCTGCTACTCTGCTGTCACACACAGGTCCTCGCCCCATCCACACCAGGTCCAGTCGAGTCAAGGCACCAGAGGTCTGTGTCCTTTTGCGGCCTGGATGCCTTCCCAGGAGGCCAGGGACAGCCCTCGGGACGTGGGCAGGGTCAGCTTAAAAAGCACATTCACCTGTTCTTTTATCCTCAGAAACAGTTAATTGGGAGTAGTGAAAAGAATTGCAACTCAGGATGTGCGTGCTCTGGAACCATAGGCAAACCCCGAGAACAGGAGGAAGCTGCTTTTATAGAGAAAAGGAGGAGGCGGGGGCTGCTCTAAAGGAAAGTCCACTGGGGGAGAGTGACAGTTCAGGGCGGCAAAGCCTTCTCATTGGCCGGGCTGTTGCCTTTGGGGAGAGGAATCTTCCTTCAGTAGGGAAGCGGTTGTCTTTCCTGTTTGGCGTAACTGACATGCTGTGGGCCTCCCCTGGCCAGTCTGGTTGGGGGTCTCCCTCATTTCACAGCAGCCACTCAGCCCTCACTCAGGCTCCGCCCAGCAGCTCCCCTGCCTCCAGGAGCGCAGATTCCCGGGATCTAGCCTGTGCCTGCAGGACTGGGCCCAGGCCCCTCTGCCTGCTGCTCCGCGGCCCGGCCCGGCCCGGCCCGGCCCGGCCCTGTCTGTGTGGTTCCCCATAGCTGCGTCTTCCTGGCCATGCTGGCCTCGGAGGGATGTGTCTGTCTCCTGGGCAGCCCTGTGTCTGGCTAGGACGGACGTACAGTCATTGTGGAAGGGGCCAGACGGGCAGCTGGCAGTCTCCCTCTGGTGTTGCGTCTACACATGGACCACCCGCTCTACTCCCCTCGCCCACAGGCTCGGAGTCCAGGCTTCTCCCTCCAGCCATCTGTGCACCGCCGTCCTCGCCGCCCTCCGCGGGGGGACCCAGGGTCACACAGAAAGCCCCGTCTGCAGGTCAGGGTGGCACACACAGCAGCCACTGCAGGTCCCCGAATGTGAGTGGCCCACTGTTGTGACCCCCAACCATGCCATGCCATGAACCACTCGTGTGTCTGGAGCGTAGAGCCTTCCCGCGGAGGCCCCAGCCCTGCGGTCCCCTGCCCGTGGGCCCAGAGATGGGACATTGTGGGTCTTCGGCCCGGGTCTGTGCATCCCGCGCGGCCCCTGGTAGCCCGGGGCGGAGTGGGGGTGGGCCGCTCACGGCCCTGCTCCCGCCCTCCTCACCCCGCGCCAAGTCCCCACTGAGCCGGGTGGGGCCATGCGCGTGCGTAGGGGCCGCTCCGCGTGGACGTGGGGCCGTCCGCGGAGCTCTGCCCATGGGGCGGTGCATGCCCCCACCCGGCGGTTTTAAAAGGGGCAGCGCGTGCGTCCGTGTCACCCAAATTCTCGGAAGACGTGGGCCCAGGCCTGCCTGCGTGGGCTTCTCGTGGGGCCACCTTATAGGCCCCGCCGAAACACGGGGACGACGCCCGGGTAGGCGTCCGGGGCTGTCCTGGAGACCCACGGCCACCTCCGCGGGAGACTCGTGCCGGCCGCAGCTGCCTTGCGCGCCGAGCGTGCAGGAGGACGGCCCACGGCCACACTCCCGAGAGGCGCAGAGGCCAGCCCCTCGGGCATTCGCGGGGGCCCCAGATGGCGAGGCCGCCCGAGCGCACGTGGGGCGCGGACCTTGCAGGGGGACCGCGCTGCCGCCCGGCGCGTTCCCGCCTCTGCGCTCCCTCCGCGTGTGAGGCCGAGCGCGGCCCCCTCCCGGGGTTTGCTCGTCGTGGGCTCAGCGTGTGAGTCTACTCCGCGTGGCTGTGGCGTGTCGTAGCGTCGCCCTTGTTCTGGCAGCGGTTTGTCAAAGTGGCCCCGCCGCTTCTCACCGCGCAGGCAGGGTCCCTCTCAGCGTCGGGTGGCGCGGAGGTGAGCCCCCTCCCACCTCCGTGCGTCCTCGGTTTCCTTGAGGAGTCTGAGCTGCAAGTCTGAGTGAGTCCCACTCCAGTCCCCTGAGCCGTCCTGAGGGGGAGGGGGGCCTCCGCCCCGAGAAGGGCCGCCGCGCAGCGCGCACGTGAGAAGAGGCCGTTAGGAAGCCGCAGGACGCTGGGGGGTGCCGCAGCCGGGGGTGGACTTGGGGGGAAGGCCCGCATGGCCTCTCGGTGCTGCCCGGGCCTGGTCGACCCCGTGGTGCGCTCCCTGCCTGCAGGTGCTGAACGAGGCGGTGGGCGCGCTCATGTACCACACCATCACGCTGACGCGGGAGGACCTGGAGAAGTTCAAGGCACTCCGGATAATTGTGCGGATCGGCAGCGGCTTCGACAACATCGACATCAAGTCGGCCGGGGATTTAGGTAGGATGCTTCTGGATTCTTCTCTCCTCTGCAGCTTCCTGCCGCATTTCCTTGGTGTGATTTCCTTAGCTTTGTCTTCTCAGTTGGTTTAACGTCGCGAGTGACAGGCTCCTGCTACAGCCTCTGGTTTGGTCGAAGGGGACCTGTGAGCTGGCGCCGGTGGGGCCCCACGCTGGTTCCCCTGCAGGGCAGGAGCGAGGTCCAGGCAGCTTTCCTGAGGAAGCCGGGACAGCCCTCGCTGTCCTCTGTCCCGGGGGCAGCGTGCGTTCTGCACTCCTCTCCTTCACTGGCAGCGGGCGCCCCCTCTGGGGCCGAAGGGAAGGCGAGTCCGCCTGCAGGTGGCCAGGCATCCCTGTCGGGGCTTCACAGATCCCCACCCATAAGATGCAGTGGGGAAGGCGGTTTATGCTGTGATTTAAGATACACTCAAGTGTACACGTGTATGTGTGTGTGCACTACTTGTGAACACACACGGTTGTACACACGTGTGATTTGCACAGTTAGAGACACACTTAACCAATGCTCACCCATACCAAGTTGGGTACAGTCCCCTATTTTCTGTGCCGTCCTGTCCTGTCTTTTCCCCTTCTCGTGCTGGTCACGGCTGGAGAAGGGGAGTTGAGGCCGAGCAGGGCTTCTCATCTAGGACGCTGCTTCAGGAACGACAGTCACAAGGTCTGGTGTTTGACGTCACAGTCTTGGGTTCACTCTGCTCCTGTGCAAGCCTCTCATACCCACCACCATCCCACTGGCACCTGTCCCTAGGGGCTGTGGGGGCTGGGAGGACGGGCCGCCCCAAAGCCGGGTGCCACTTGCCCTTGGGAGCCATGGGAGGCAGGAGGGGCGGTACCTATGTGGGTGTGGGTGGCTGTGGGGCCAGCTCCAGGTTCCAGCGTGACCGTGACCCCTTCCCAGGACGTCGTGTGGCAGGTGGTCCAGGCAGGGCAGAACCGGCCTTGGCGTCTGCCCAGGCAGCCTCTCCTCCTGTCCCCCACCCCATCTGCCTGGGCCCCCAGGTGGCTTTTCCACACAGCACAGGACGTGTAACCTGCGTTTGTTTCGTAGCCTCTCTTGGTGGCTCAGGGACGTGTCCTTTGGCGTTGCACAGGTGAAGTGCCAGGGTGGGCTCTGGTGACCACCACGTGTCTTGTGTCCTCAGGCATCGCTGTCTGCAACGTGCCGGCAGCATCCGTGGAGGAGACTGCCGACTCCACCATGTGCCACATCCTGAACCTGTACCGCAGGACCACCTGGTTGCACCAGGCACTGCGGGAGGGCACCCGGGTCCAGAGCGTCGAGCAGATCCGGGAAGTGGCCTCCGGAGCCGCCAGGATCCGCGGGGAGACCTTGGGCATCATCGGACTGGGTATGTTAGCTTCTGCCCTCGCCCCTCTGTGGCCTCGGCACACGACGAGGGCAGGGCTTGGCTTTGCTGTCAGATGGTGCCCCCGCCCAGGGATGGCATGGGGTGGAGGGCGTTCTGCCGTGGAGGCTGTGCTGGTCCTTCTGCCCCAGGAATACCAGGCGTGGGCCACACACACACGCAGACACCAAACAGGTGTCCACAGGGTCATGCAAACGCACAGCCACCGTCACTGACGCAGAGTCAGCCCACGCTTACGCAGTCACGCGTGCTCACCCCGCCCCCTGCCCCCATTGATGGCAGAGTGCATGTGGCCTTCAGACGAGCAGCCACCTGCTGGCCCCGAGCGCTGCCCCCCGTGGAGGAGGTTGTCCACTCTCTCTGCCATGCATTCGTGTATTCGTTTGTTCACTTGCTGGCTCTGCGGGCGGCTGTCCTGGGCCAGGCACCCTTCTGGGTCCAACACACAGCAGGGAGCAGGCCTGAGACCACCCCGGGCCCGGCCGGAAGCAGAGAGCAAGTCTGTGTGTGTGACCCCGGGGGTACAGACATGTTGGGAGGGGGCGGGGGAAGGGGCTTGGAGGTCTGGGGAAGCGGGGCGAGGGTGCGTGTGGAGGGAGGGGCCTGGGTGCGGGGCCGGGGCTCCTCTTCAGGCCACTCGGCACCGTCCAGCATCGTTTTTGTTGGTGGTCATCTCCACCCCAGAACACGGGCTCCCCCAAGAACTTCTGCCCCGTCCCCTGGGACGCCCCGGCGTGGACAGGGTCATGGCTCATTGCTGGTCCCTCACACTGCTTCCTGGACCTTCTCCCGGCAGCATGATCCCCCACTGACCTCCCCGCCCTCACCCCGTTGGTTCCACGGCAGAGGCACCACCTGTGTGGCGTTGGGGAAATTGGAGGGACATTTGGGGTTGTCTTGGTGACAGGGACATTGGTGCGTTAGTGCAAGAGGTTGGGGTTGTCCCTCGTGCAACATGACTCACTGTCCCACTGGATGTGTGCATGTGACACCAGAGCCCAGTAGTTCTGTGGGCGCTCCACCCCCAGCACCTGGGCCTGCCTTGCCCCTCCCCCTGCCCCCCTCCCCCAGCACCTGGGCCTGTCCCACGGCCTCCCTCTGTGCCCCTCCCCCTGCCCGTCCCCCCCCCCACCCCAGCACCTGGGCCTACCCTGCCGCCTCCCTCTGTGCCCCTCCCCCTGCCCCTTCCCCCAGCCCCCTTCCCAGCTGGTCTTAGGGCAGGGACTGGTGCTTTACCTCAGGTCTGGCCCAGGTAGCTTGTTGAAGGGCGAGGAGGCAGCTGGGAGCTGGGTTTGCCTGGCCTTGTGGGTTTTGGGGCCACGTAACCTCTTCAAGTTATGTCGGTCAAGAGACTCAGTGGGGTGGTTTAAATGTGCCTCTGACCAGGTGGGCTGGGGGGCCCCAGGGTCTGCCTCCTGACCAGCACCAGGTGGCTGCTCTGGGGACTGCTGCACCTCCTTGGCCCCAGTCCCTCCTCTCTGCACCCTCTGGGGCCTCTTTACACGGGTGCTCCCTGCATCTGGGTACATAGTAGGGGTCACTGCCGTGGACAGACTGTCCAAAGCTGAACAGCGTGAGATGGTGGTCACTTGACTTGCTTGTGATGCTGTGGGTCAGCATTTTGGGTGGAATTGGCGAGACTGTTCTGCGCTGGCCTCCGCTCGGGTCACTCATGGGCCTAGTGGTCGCCTGGGGCCTTGCAGCCGTGCTCCTCGGGCGTTCGCCTTCCTCAGGCTTCCTCCTGTGGTGTCTCCGGGTCACAAGGGCATTCCGGCCTCTGCTTTCATTGTTGATGTCCTGTGCTCAGAGCAAGCCCCGGGGCTCCAGGAGGGTGGGGCCCTGGGGTGGTGGTGGTCTTCGGGGTGGACAGCCTGCACCACAGGCCCCTGAATCATTGGGGTTGAGGCCACGTCCTGCTGCCTCACATGGGTCTGAGGGTCAGCTGCGTCACCAGGTCTTGGCCCCCCATGGTTCTCTCAGCTCTGTCTCGACTCCCCAGCGGCTGCACTGTGGCCGGGTCAGAGCTCCCTCCCGTGGTCCTTGGTGAGGGCTCTGAGCCCCTTTGCCCTCTTTCAAGAGCAGAGGAGCATGGGTTCCACTCTTCAGGGCGCAGAGGCTCCTCTGACACCACAGCCCCCACCCCACTGCGCTGCCCCCGCGTGTGGTGTCCTCGGAGCTTCCTTCTGCACTCCCTGGGGTCATTTCCGGTCCCCGCCCCTGCTCTCTGCAGCCTGAGCCCGGCATGCATGGCGCTGCCTGCCCCGGTGCCCCCACCACTTGGTGTCTGGAAGCAGAAGCCTTGGGGCCAAGAGGGCCTCGCTGCCCGCCCAGGGGTGTGTCGTCCCCCCCCACCCCATGTCGCCACCGGGCCCCTCGCTGTGGTGACGCCTCTGTTTCTGTCCTGCCTACCAGGTCGCGTGGGGCAGGCGGTGGCGCTACGGGCCAAGGCGTTCGGCTTCAACGTGCTATTCTACGACCCCTACCTGTCGGACGGCACGGAGCGGGCGCTGGGGCTGCAGCGGGTCAGCACCCTGCAAGACCTGCTGTTCCACAGTGACTGTGTGACCCTGCACTGTGGCCTCAACGAGCACAACCATCACCTCATCAACGACTTCACCGTCAAGCAGGTGGGCCCACGAGCCTGTGCGGGTGGGGTGAGGGCCTTCCTCTGGCTGCTTTTGCCGGGGCTGTTTGGGGGTGGGGGGCATGGCTTCCCTCTCCCCGCCCCTGCGGCCTGAGCAGTGACCCTCGCGGGTGCCGTGAACACAGACAGCAGTTGATCGTCCTCTGGGCTCCCTCAGGGTGAGGGACCCACTGCGAAGGCAAACTGCTGACCTCTCGGTGCCAAATGCTTTTCAGGTCCTATTGCCTCACAAAGGGGACAGACCCAGTGGCCTGGGGGGTCTTGGGTTTGGAGGGTGCGTCCGCCCATGGTCGCGCTTTGGTGCCGTGTCGTCAGGTGGAGGTTTAAATCCACGGCTGGAGGTGTTTGTACCGTGGAGTCAGCCTGTGCCCACCTCGGCACGAGCTCTGCCAGCTGTGTCCTAAGCTGCCCTGGGTCGGGCAGGACCTTCCCGCTGGCTCCAGGCCTCGTGTGTGGCTGTGTGCACTGTGACTTTGTGTGTGTGTACATGTGCACAGGGGCACACACTTGGTTGTGGGCAAGTTTGTGTGTGTACGTGTATGAGGGTACAGCTTCATGTGTGTGCTGCTTTGCCCACTGCATGTGTGTGTGTGTGCACATGGTCACGTGTGCACATAATTAGGTGTGCACGTGGGTGTGTGCGGTGACGTGCACATGCACACGTTTACGTGTTTGTGTATGTGGGGGGCCCGCCCGCCATCTGCCCCAGGCCCCACAGCCCCGTAGCCCCGTAGCCCCGTGGAGGACAAGACTGGTGCCCACATGGCCCCTCCCTTTGTTCCTGTCGGGGTTTGGAGGGCAGGCATGGCCTGGGGGTGACCTAGGGGTGACCTGGACGGCTGCCTGTGCCCACGGCCGGGCGGGCTTAGTGGCGGTAATGTCAGAGTCACGAGCAGTCACACCTCAGAGCAGGGGCATCTCCAGGCCGACTCGGGCGGCCCTCAGCAACAACAGAGGGACAGACGAAGCCGTGCTGGAGCGAGGGGGTCAGCGCAGCCCCTTCGGAAACGGCTCCCGCTGGGCCACCTCGAGGACCACATCTCAGAGAGCGCCCTGAGGGCTCAGTCCATCACCCCAGGGCGTTTGGGATGTGTTTCGCTGTCCTGAACCCCCAGCTCTTGAGGCGAGGCCCTGCTTGGAGGAGGTTGGGTGCCACCTTCCCGAGTGACTGTGGGGTCAGGAGCCGGGCCGCAGGGCTGAGCGCTCGGACGCCACTTCCCAGGCGCCCCAGACCCTTTCCAGGCACCATGTGCAAAGTGGGGGCCGGGCTCGGAGCCCCCACGACCCGGCCCATGCCTTGCTGCCTGGGATGGGAGGAGGCCGGGCCATGTGTTGGTGCGTCCCCTCTGGCCAGCGGCCCTCGGCGGGGCGGAGGCCACCTGGGCCTGGAGCCCTTGGCTAGCCTGGGAAAGCCCGGATTGCTGCAGCACAGCCGCCCAGGGCTTCAGGAACAGGACCCGAGGGCCGCAGTGGGCCTGGGCTGGGCAGGGACCCGGGTACGGCGTCCCATGGCTGGCCTCTCCGCTCCCTGCCCAGCTGCTCCCTGGTCGGTGGGGCGGGTGAGGAGGCCCATTGATTGACTCTTGGCACTGTCACTGTGTCTTCCCAGATGAGACAAGGGGCCTTCCTGGTGAACACGGCCCGGGGCGGCCTGGTGGACGAGAAGGCCCTGGCCCAGGCGCTGAAGGAGGGGCGGATACGCGGTGCGGCCCTGGACGTGCACGAGTCGGAGCCCTTCAGGTGCCTCCCGACGTCGCCCTGGGCCATCCCCGAGATGGCGCCTCTCCCGGGCCGGGTGCTCGCGCAGGCTCACACCCCACAACGGCCAGTGTCAGGGGCTGGGCCTGATGGCTGCAGTGTCAGGGAGCAAGGCCTCAGTGCCAACACGCAGTCTCTGTGCTCCGGCCTCGGGCTCCTGAGGGCCCAAGGGCCAGACTGTTTCTGGACTTCACGTCCAGCCCACAATCCTGCTCCAGGCGGACCTCCCTCCCAGGGCCTGGCCAGGTCTCGGTGGGTGGCTACTGCCATGGGCCAGTCTGGCTCTGGGTTTCCTGTACGTGGTGGGGCTAGGGGGAGGCTCCAACCCGTGCTCCATGCCAAGCACCCAAGGGGCACTGTGTCGATGGGTTGCCCAGGTGTGTGAGGGGGCCGGCCCCTGTGTGGCCACGTCCAACGGCCCCGCAGCTGAGAAGCCCCTCTGGGCAGTAAGCCAGCCCCAGGTGGGTCTTCAGTCCTGGAGGACAGCAACTCCCAGAGCCAGGTCCCCCCAGTCTAGGCCCCTCCCCACTGCTGTCAGGGGCCCGTGGGCAGGATTGACCGTCCTGGTGGCCGCCCGGGTCTGACGGAGGGGTGGGGGTATGGCTCCGGACAGGGTCAGGCGCCCTTACCTGCTGTGCACCGTCTGCAGCTTCAGCCAGGGCCCCCTGAAGGATGCGCCCAACCTGATCTGCACCCCCCATGCGGCCTGGTACAGCGAGCAGGCGTCCATCGAGATGCGTGAGGAGGCGGCCCGTGAGATCCGGAGAGCCATCACAGGTGGGCCGGGGGGGGGTCCGGTGGACGGAGGGGCTCTTTTGGAGACGAGCGTCTGCCCGGTGGCCTTCCTCTGTCTGCACTCTTTTAGCCACAGCCGTCTCGTGCTGGACGGAGTCGGGGCTGAAACAGACCCACCGTGGCACAGACGTCCTGGCCGTAGCAGACCCCAGACTCGGAGGAAGTCAGCCCCCGGGTCTTGTGGCCAGGCCGTGCTGGTCCTCAGTCAAGCCTGTCCCCCGCTGGCTGTCACCAGTGGGCTTTCAGCACGTGTGTCATTTTTTGCTACCTGTTTAAAAAGGTGTGTCCTTGTAGGCCTGCTGGGCTGGGCCCTGTCGACTGCTCTCCGACATTGCCAGGCCAAGCAGACAGGGTGGGGGGTGCCTGTGAGCTGCGGGCACCTGCTTGGGGCTGGTCCCCGACCTGCAAAGGTGACCGTGCCAGACAGCTGGGACCGTCTGCAGCTTCAGCCAGGGCCCCCTGAAGGATGCGCCCAAGGGGCGTGCCTAAGGGGAGTGAGCCAGGAGGAGGGGCGAAGCCGCAGACCCCTGCAGCCTGAGCTCCGTGTCCTCGACTGAGCCGCATGCTCCTGGGATCCCCTTGGTGGCAGCTGTGTAACGTGGGTCCCGTCCTTCCTCTTTCCACTGCCTCTCCAGGCCGGATCCCAGACAGCCTGAAGAACTGCGTCAACAAGGACCACTTGACGGCTGCCACCCACTGGGCCAGCATGGACCCGGCCGTTGTGCACCCTGAGCTCAATGGGGCCGCCTACAGGTGAGCAGGGGCCAGAGGGGCAGCGGGCCCAGTGGACACAGATGGTCGGGGGGTAAGGGCCCAAGCAGGGCGGTCTTCAGGGCCTGGTGGACACAAGACCATCTGGGTGGAGGCCATGCTGGGGCAGGGGGTGGGGTGTGTGGGAGGGGGTCCTCCCCAGTGGGTGGCCTCCGGGAGTAGCCCCCTGCCCTGCACTGTTGGTGCTTTGGCCACAGAAGGGGCTTGGCCCAGGCTCACCTGGGTTCCTCCTCTCCCAGCAGGTACCCCCCAGGCGTGGTGGGCGTGGCCCCCAGCGGCATCCCGGCTGCCGTCGAAGGCATTGTCCCCAGCGCCATGTCCCTGTCCCATGGCCTGCCCCCCGTGTCCCACCCACCCCACGCCCCTTCTCCCGGCCAAACCGTCAAGCCCGAGGCAGATCGAGACCACGCGAGTGACCAGTTGTAGCCCGGGCAAGTTCTGCAGCCTTGGTCGGTGGGGCTGTGCCCTCGGACAGGCGGGTGCAGAGGTGGCCTGCAGGTGGCCACGCGCTCCAGAGACTGTCCAGGCTCTGGGTGGCCGAGAGGCGGCGCCCAGCCTCCCCGCGTTGACTGTAGTTGTCCCGTCCCGAAGGCCGGCTGCTGCCCTGTGTCCTTTGCGTCCTCGTTAAGCAAGAGAAGTTAGTAGTTAACCCTCTCATGAATGTCCGTGTCCGTGACCAGTCTCTAGAACATCACAAAGGATTTGTTTGCTTAGCTGTCAGCCGGAGAGCCGAGGGAGGCCCTCAGCAAGTCCGTGTCAGGTTATTTTTCCTTTTGTATGTTGGAACGGGCCTGGAATGAGGCAGTTGGCAAACTTCTCAGGACAATGAATCCTTCCTGTTTTTCTTTCTACGCCACACAGTGCATTGTTTTTTCTACCTGCTTGTCTTATTTTTAGAATAATTTAGAAAACAAAACAAAGGCTGTCTTTCCTAATTTTGGCATGAACCCCTGTGTTCCAAACGAAGACGGCGCCATGACGCGGCTCGAGACGAGGAGAGCGTGTGGCCCGTGGCGCCCCGGCTGTCGGCCTCTGTCAGGGGTGCGAGGGCGCAGCATCTGGCCGGCGCCGTCCGTCCTGCTGACGTGGTAGCTCGCGGTATCTTGGTTCAAATCATGTTTGTGACTGTCACCATTTGTATGAATTATTTTAAAGAAATAAAAGCCCCAGAAAGAGCCAGTGCACCTGGCGTCTGCTTGAGCAGCCTCGTCTCGCAGGGACATGGGAGGCTCTCAGCCCTGGCTCTAGTGCCCTTGAGGACGAGAGCAGGTAGCACCAGGGTCCTGGCCCGGAAGCTGCGTGCTCTGGGTGGTGGTGGGCGGTGCTAGGACGAGGGCCCACCCTTCTCTGCCTAGTGCCCCCTCCGCAGGCGGCCGAGACCTGGGGCATAGTGGACACCAAGGCCTCTGCAGGAGAAAACCGGGAGGAAGCTGCATGGCCGCGTGAAACGGTGGCCGTTCCTCGAGCAGCTCGAGGCAGAACCGGTGTGTCCATCAAACCACGGCTGCTCCCCTGGCAGCCCTGGCAGTGCCCTCCAGCAGAGTCCTGTGCACGTGGGGCCGCCTTGCTCCCTGTTCACAGCCCTCCCTGGCACTCAGAGCCCTCAGGATGCCACACCCCTCCCCTGCCAGGGCCCCCGAGTGTGACCGGTGTGGGTCATGACCTCTGCCCTCCTGTGTGCCTACATGACCTTGACCCAGCTGCCCTTCCTTCTCAGTCTCACACTAGACTGGGGCAGGGGCAGGACAGGGCCTCGGCTGCCCCAGAGGCCTGCTCTTTCCTGAGCTTGGCGTTTCCCTCCCGGCCCCAAGCCACTGCCGGGGTGCCCAGGGGTCACACCTCGGGTTCTCCAGCTCTCAGCTCCCCTGTGTCCTGGAGCGTGTCCTTCAGTGGTCCTTTCAAGGCTGTTCTGCTGGGGAAACTGTCTACAGAGACCTATTTGTGGGGAACTTCTGGGGAAAATGCCTAGTTTTGCCCACACACTTGGCAAGGCATTGTGCTGGGCGAAGAATCTGGGGCAGGAGCTGTTTTTTCCCCACTCCGTGCCTCCTTCTGTCCTCAGGAGCTGGGGTCCTCCTGGTCGCCATCCTTTGGGGCTCTCGCTTTTCCCTCTGGTTGCTTTCAAATTCCTCTCTTCGCTCTGGCATTCTGCTTTCTCATTGCAGCTTGTGTGCAGTTCTGTTCTTATTTATCCTTCCCAGAACTCATTACACTTTGTGAACTGGTGAATCCGTGTCTTTACTCAGTTCTGGAAAATTCTCAGCCATCTTATCTTCCATTGTTTCCCCTTTATTCTCTGTTCTTTCCTTCAGGAATCCTGAATAACAGTGAAAATACAACATGTAAAAACTGGGAAACAGGGCCAGCCCGGTGGTGTGGTGGTGAAGTTTGCACACTATGCTTCGGCAGCCTGGGGTTCACAGGATCAGATCCCAGGAGCGCACCGATGTACCACTTGCCATGCTGTGGCGGCATCCCATATAAAGTAGAGAAAGATGGGCATGGATGTTAGCCCAGGGCGGGTCTTCCTCACACACACAAAAAACAAACAAACTGGGAAACAGCTAAAGTAATTAACTTAAAAGAAAACTGAAAATATTAGAAAAGAACAAAGACTGAAATTAACATAAATTTATATGTATCTTAAGCAACTAGAAAAAGAATGACAAAACTTAAAATCGTAGATGGACTGAAATAATAAATATTGGATTTAATAAAATAGATAACAAACACGTAGCAGAGAGGATCCACAAATTCAACAGAGTTCATTGAAAAAATTAATAAAGTTGATAAAACTCTGGCAAATAAAGTAAAACAAGTACAACCGGTATCAGGCGTGAAGAGGAGACGCCCTTACAGTCCCCATGAGGTTAAAACGACAGAGGATATGATGGGCAACTTTATGCTGGAAATTTAGAAGAAATGAAATAAAAAACACTTGCTAACACTGACACAAAACATAAAAGATCTGAATAGCTCTATAACTTGAAAGAAATTAAAGAACACTTCCTCAAATTACAAATCTGGATGGCTTCAATGGTTAGTCTTGACAAATATTTAGAAAAGAAATAACTCTAATTTCACGCACACTTCCAGGCACAGAAAGGAGGGTGCACCACCCAACTCATTTTATGAGGTTACGTTAACTCTGATTCCAAGTCCGTAGAGAAAAAAAGACCATCCAGAATCACTGAAGGACTGTTCCCAGATGGGGTGAATTTCCTCTACAAAGTGAATCCAGTGGTGCAAGGGGTGGGCTGTAGTGGGGCCCACGGGGCACCCCACGTCTCCCCTCAGGACCGAGGAGGGGACCATAGTGGGGACCGCAGGGCACCCCACATCTCCTCTGAGGAGTGAAGTGTTCAGTCCCCAGCCACTAGGAGTGTTGGCCACTGATGGCTCAGGGCTTGGTCCTCTCTGGGCATTGTCCTCAGCCAAGGAAAGCCGACTCTCCCCAGGGGACCGCACACCCAACAACTGGCATACAGGGGCACAAAGATCTGACCCCTTTGACTCAGTTGAGGACAGTTTTGAAACTCCGTCCCGGCTCTGGGCGCTGATGGACCCAGCTTCTCCCTCTGCCTGGTGGTGCTCCCTTCAGGACCCTGTTGGGGCTGCTGAGAGTGCTCCTTAGGAAACCACCTGTGCAGATGCCCGACTCAGAGTCCGTGTCCCAGGGCCCCAGCGAAGCCTCGCTGTGGCCCGGCGTGTCCACTCCCAGGCATGTTCCCAGCAGAGACGCAGACGCATGGTGACTAAGAGGTGGGTCCAGGAGCGCCGGGAGCTGCTTCCACCTCAGTGGTCGGAAACTGCAAACACCCGTCCATCAGCGCTGGAATGGACAGGCTGGCTGTGCTTTGCACAACGAAATGCTCGACAGCGGTGACGATGAGCACAGTTCAGGTCACAGACAGCACCAACGGGTTTCACAGACACGTGAGCGGAGGAGGCAGGCACCGGTGTGGCCCGCCTGGTCCCTTTGTGGGCCACACGAGGGACGGCCCGTGGTGCCCGCCCAGGATGGGGGCTGCGGGCTGGGGCCGTTGCTCTCCTGGAGCGTCTCTCTCTGTAGTCCACTGGGCCTCCAGTGAATCACGCAGGCGCCGTCCGAGTGAGCCCGCCAGTCGTGGCCCTGGTGGCATCTGCTCCAGGCGAGCTGATCTCATCACTGTCCCTCCAGACTTCAGGGTGCTGGTTTGCCCTGTGACTCGGTTCTGTGATGGGTCCAAGAAAGTTGTTGATTTCTCTGTTTTCCAGCTTTTTTTTTGTTGTAAAGACAGGAGTGACAACTTCTAAGCTCTTTACGTGTCAGAGCTAAAACCATAGTTTCTATTTTAATCTGAAAACCTCTTTTGGTCTAACTCCCTTCACAGAAATGGAAGCTTCAGGAGGGACTAGAATGTTCCCTGCTGAACGACCAGGGTGCGGTGGCGTTTGCTGAGTGAGTGACTGAGTGGACGAATGACTGACCCTGCCGTGCTGGCTGCCCTGTCTCCTGACCCCACATCCCCCTCGTCTGGGGTTTACACCCCATTTTGCTGAAGCGCATCCTGCAGTAGCTTCCTGAGGATGGGCTCAGGGGAGGTGATTCTGTAAAACCTCACGTGTCTGAAATGTCCTCCTCTCGCCCACCCAGACTGATGGTGGGGCGGGGGGTGAGGCCCCCTGTGCTGCTCTCCTTCCGCCTGAAGCAGCCCAGAGCCCCTGAGGCCCCCCGCCCCGGACTCCCTTCCCACCGGGTGGGGCTGCGGCTGGGACTGCTTTTCCTTGAGGCTCTCTGTCCCCAGAGGGGCCCGAGGGCGGCACTCCGAGTCGGGGAGACCTCCCTGGGCTCCTTGAGCAGGGCAGGCACGGCCCCTCTGCGGGCGGGAGGGATGGGCTCCTGGACCCCAGCCCAACCCAGTGGGGAAGGACCGGGCTGGTGGTGCCCACTGCAGACCATCTCAGGAGGGTGGTGGACGGGCTGGCGCTGCTCCTCTGGGCTCAGAGCCTACCGTGGGAACCCCCGCCGGTCTGCACCTGCTGTGTGCGGTGCTCACCAGGACCCTTAGGTCTCCCACCAGGCTTGAAAGTGAAGCCCCCCCATCCCCTTGCCTCAGCCCTGCCCCTCCTGACGTGGTACCCTGGTCGCAGGGGTGCCGGTCCTAGCCCAAGTGCAAGCCCCCGAGGTCCCCTGCCTGGCTCCTGTCCCCTGACTCCTGCAGAGGTCACTGGCAGTTGTGGCCAGTGGGCTGTGGTCTCCAGGCCAACCCCACGGTGGCCCCTCACTGTGCCCGAGGCCTCGGCCCTTGGCCCTGCCCGGCAGGTGGGTTCCGCCTCCCTACTGGAGGCTGCCCTGCCCATCTCTGACCCGAGGGCCCATCCTGTGGGGCCAGAGGCCTCCTGGAGCCCTGTGGGAGGCTCCAGCCCCTGCAACGTGTCACCGGCTCATTGGCAGCCCCTACAGAGCCCGTCAGGAGCCCCAGGGTCCCCTGATGAGTGTGCCGCATGCCCCCACTGGGTCCCGTGGGTCCCCTCCAGGGCCACCCATCATCTGCTCAGGCCCCCACCCCCAGCAGCCAGAGGAGCCTCTGCCCCATCCCGCCCTGTCCCCACCGCTGGGCACCTGGTGAGCGCTAAGGTGGCCCAGACCCCAGCGGGAAGGGGTGGGTTCTGGAGGTGCTGGTGTCGCTGACGCGGGTGTAGGTGTGAGAGGAGGGCGGTCAGGTGACTCCGAGGGTCCCGGAGCAGGCCGGAAGGAGGTGCGGACAGGAGTCGTCCTCGGGCCCTGCGATGGTAGGCGAGCCCCAACCCTCCCAGTCTCGGTGTCCCTATCGGTGAAGCGGGGACCCCAGCTCATCTCCCAGAGATTAACATTGTGCCAGA